GTAAAGATAACAACAACAAAAAGCAACCAATGAATGCATAAATAAGTGGAACAACAAATTGATGTTTTCACTCCCTTTTTCCTTTCTTCCCTCCCCCCCTTCCTCCCTTGAAAATCAATAAATAAAAAATTTAAAAAAAAGAACGTAGGATGACATAGACAGAACGACCCAGCTACTCTAAATCTGTAATTTAAATAAAATATTTGTTTGTGCTGTAAGTCCCATAAAATGGAGAAAATGATTTATATACAGTTAATTAAAAATAGGACCATGATAAAGTGTTTGTTTAGCATATAAAAATAGGATTTTACTGTATCATAAATTTGTCTTATATAAAACTAACATAATGCTTACTATCATAAAAATTAATCAAGTTCTTAATTAAAAATAGTTTACTTGCCTTCCTTGATTTTAGTGGACTTTTAATGCAGCGACTTGAAAGATTTCTGGTGTCTTTAAAAGGCAAGCTGCCTGGAGAGGTTTGAACAGATGTCTTTTTTTTCTTTTTCTTCATGAATTTCTCAGAGACAGCAAAGAATGTTTAGTTTTTTCCATTTTCATCCATCTGTCTGTCTGTTCATTCATATAGCCATCCATCAAGACGGCAATTCTTTATTGAGTAGCTACTGTGTGCTGAGCCCTATATAGTGGGAACAGAATTAACAGTGGGCTGTGGTTCCTGTCTTTTGTATCTGTTTGTCTTTCTCTCTCTGTTCCAGCTCTGTCTTTGTTTTTCACGTCCCTCTGTTTCTCTTCCCCTTTCTATCTGAAGCAGACTCATGGGATTAGGTCCCTCAGTTTCTGTATTTGGCAAAGGATTTGACTGTTCAGTCAGATGTTATAAAAGTCTTAATAGAGCAAGACAAATATGCACCTGTGACCCATTTCCTAGAAAAAAATCCACTTCTGGAAAAGAAATTCCAAGTTAACAATAGAGTGCAGCTGAATGCAAGTTTCCAGCAAGCAGCAGTGATTCTAGTGAAATGTCCCTTTCGTTACAAGCTTTTGCATTTAATTTCTGCTAATATCACTTGACTCCTCCTCAGAAGGAGCGCAGATGATTATAACAACTGGATTTGGTAGCCAAGCATCCAGGGCATGGAGGGTAATTAAGTGGGGCTGGAAATGTGAATGACAGGGAGTGGTGGTGATGGGTAGTCACTGGTTAATGGCAAAAGATTTGGCTCAAGAAGTAAGCACAAGTCTTGTCTCTGTCCATGGGTTATGCATATATGCATATAAGTTCTTCGGTTAATCTCTTCCCACCCCCTCTCCCCCCTTTCCTCTGAGATATTAGTGCAGTGAAGGCCTGGGGGTGGTGGTGAGGGGGTGGATCAGCGTCACTGGAAAATAAAAGGGAACATCTGTAATACTTTCAACAATAAAGATAAATTTTAAAAAAGAAGTAAGCAAAAGTCTTTTTTTTAAAAATTCTTTTGTTTATTTTTAATATGTTTTTATTGATTTTAGAAGAGAGAAGAAGGGAGAGGGAGAGAGAGTAGAAACATAGAAGGGAGATAAATGAATCCGTTGCCTCCTGCACGCCCCCTCCTGGGGATCGAGCCCACAATCTGGGCATGTGCCCTGACCGGGAATCGAACCAGGGACCTCTTGGTTCATGGGTGGACACTCGGCCATTGAGCCACGCCGGCTGGGGGCAGAAGTCTTATAAACTATCTAAAGGATGTTGAACTTTATCCTGAAGACTTAAGGGTTGTTTTTTGTTTGTTTTAATCAAGGGAATGATGATACTATTTACTTCTTAGGAAGGTAGTTTGGAAGGGAGGAAAGTATGAATGATGGGAGAGCCTGAAGGCTTTAGAAATCCAGTGGGTAGTGACCTGGACTAGGAGATGGAGAGAAGTGTATGGATTCCCCCAACAACAGGTTTAGAGATTAGAATGTGGGTGCCAGGGTCACACATTGTTCCTAGGCTTCCCCTACTTGGGTGTCTGGAGAACTGTGGTGCCATTTATTGGCAGTGGGAAAACACAGGCTGTTAAGCAGGTTTTCATGATGTAAGCCTGTGGGCACAATCAGAGTTGATATCAATCTTCTAGAAATAATAACAGTAGCAGCTAACATTTGGATTTCCTCACTAAGGGCTTTGGTTGTGAGCATTTGAAGAAGAGAAATTATCACAGGTGATTTTTATAATTCACTTTCTTTGCTGTTTTCTGCCCCTTTCCAATGACATCAAGAGTCACCTTACAAAGAAAGATAAATCACAAAGGACAGCTTGAAAGTGTCAAATGTGTGTGTGTGTCTGAGAGAGGGAGAGAGGGAGAGAAATGGTGGCTGGGGCTTGTGCTGATGACTCATTGTATTGGTTTATAAACCTCTGGCCTCCCTCACCCCCCTGGCAGAAAGCCTTACTGGGCAGTGGGGGTGGGGGTAGGTGGAGGGTGGGAAGCTAGCCAGAGTTGCCCAGCACCCGCATTAACCGAGATCTAGGGCCAGATGTCCTAGAATCCAGGTCTGGCTCTGCTGCTTAACTGTTGTGAGATCTTGGACAAGTTACTTCATCTCCCTGTGTCTCTTCGTTTCTTCACCTGCAAAATGGGGCTGATAATAGTACTGGCTTCATTTTAAAGTCTTACATAAGTGATTGTATATAAAATACTTAGAATGAGTTACTGTATTTACAGTATTTGGAACAGTGGGTGGCACTATGGTGATAACGGGTTTTCCTTAGGCAAATGGAATGAGCAAAGCTGCGGATCACGGGCAGGGTCTTAGTAAGCGGGAGGACTGATGGAATTGCACTGTCCTGACCTTTTGTTTTAGACCCTGTGGATAGCACTTGCCATCTGGGCGGGTCCTTGTGATTTGTCCCTCCCATTGTGAGCATGTTGGCATAGCAGTGGCAGTGTTGACAATGTAAGAATAGCTTATCTGTAGCGTCCGCATCAGCCGAATGAGGTGGAGCTGCCCCCTGTCTGAGGTTTACGGGTGGGGAGACCGGCTGCTGGGGAGGCCGGGCCGCCACCCCGCCCAGGCTGCGGAGTCCCGCTTGAGAGCCTTTGCCTCTTAGCCGCTGCGCTGCGTTGCCCTGCCGCGGGTGCCTCAGAGGCCGGTCACTCAGCAGCCCCCTTCGTACAAAAACGCCGAAAGCACTTGATTTCATTGAAGATGATTGGTTATTACCTTGATGCTCAGGCTCTGAAGCTTCAGGTCTGGGTGGTGTAAGATATCATTAATCTCTTTTTTCCCATTTCTCTTTCAGATACCAGTTTTTCTTGCAGGTGAAGCAAGATGTCCTTCAGGGCCGGCTGCCCTGCCCCGCCAACACTGCTGCTCAGCTGGGAGCCTATGCCATCCAGTGTAGGTACCAACGAAGTACATTTGCTGCAGACATTTTGAAAACAATATTTAGATTTTTCTTTTCAAGCACTTTTATATACTAAAATTTTTTTTAATCAAAAATTTGGCTGGAAAAAAAAATGAATTTAGTCAGAATCAAGTTTTCATCAGGTCCCTTTGGAAGAGGCTAACATGGAGCCAGTCACACATTCTTTGTAGTGGGTCCCATGCGGTTTTAGTCACAGGAATAGCACTGATTCTGGATTATGCGGAGGGTCTAAGAACCTCTTCTATTCCCCGCTCCGCCTGAGCCCCTTGACCCCCGATGCTGTTGTGTCTCAGAGACCGTGCTGCTTTCAGAGCCCACGCGCTCAGGTGCCAGCGCCAGTGCAGAGTGTGGCACACGCTGGACGCTCACTGCCCTTCAGCTCTTGGCATCCATGTGGCAGCCATGGGGGGCATTTGCAGGTCGCATGGTCATTTTGGAGACTGAGGCCGAGGCTGGGGCAATGAGACAGCATGGTCCTTGCCTTTGTGGCCCTTTGCAGATCAGAAATAGCCTAGAAAAAAATATGCTAGGAATAATGTTGCATAGATGAAGTTGGTCGGGCTTGGAAGGTGGATTAATGTAGAGAGAATTGTTTATAAGCATAATATACTAAGCTTTCTGGTTTCATTTTGCTTCTTTGTGTAAACCGTAATGGGGTTATGTGGAGCATTGTATTACATTTTCATGTCCATTATTTGTGGCAGATACATTTTGAATCACATGCTCTATTTCTTGGTGTCATTGTCTGAGAGGACATATTGGGGTCACGGTTGTTACTTCTAATATTTCCAATATATGTACTCTAAATTCTGTTTACAACTTTTAAAATTTAAACTGATAAGAATAATTGAAATGAAAATGATGATAATTAGTCTTTCAGAAAGCAAATACAGAACTTAATGTTTTTAAGGTAAGGTTTTGTTTATACCATTCATGTAGGCTCATCAGAGACTTTACTAAAATTATTCACATACATGTGAATTTATTAATAAGGCATTTAAAGAAAATGTTTAAGCATGACAGAAATATTTGTATTGCTGTACTTCCTTGGGAATATTTCCCTAAAATGAAAATATGACACGTTTTTTCTTTTTTTAGCTGAACTTGGAGATTATGACCCATATAAGCATATTGCAGGGTATGTGTCAGAATACCGGTTTGTTCCTGATCAGAAGGAAGAACTTGAGGAAGCCATAGAAAGAATTCATAAAACTCTAATGTAAGAATCACATTTTATTAACTGTAATTAACATGTTGTACATTAGATCCCCAGAGTGTCATCTTGTTACTAGAAGTTTATACTCTGACCAGTGTCTTTCCCAGATCCCCAAACCTGATTTCCTGCCCCTGGTAACCACTATTCCAGTCCCTGTTTCTATGAGGTTGGCTTTTTCAGATTTTACATACAAGTGATACCATGTTTGTTTTTCTCTGACTTATTTCACTTAGCATGTTGCCCTCAAGGTCCATCCATATACTTGAAAGTAGCTAAGAGAGTTGATCTTAAATATTCTCACCACAAAAAAGAAATGGCACTTATGTGACAAGGTGGAGATGTTAGCTGAGCTATGGTGGTCATCATTTTGCAATATATAAATGTATAAATGTATCAAACACACCATACACCTTCAGTGTACACAATCTGTCAATTATATCTCAATAAAGCTGGAAAAAATAACATATCAACCACCATCCTTTGCTATTGGCAGACCTAAGAAAAGTTTCTAGAATGATAGATTGTTGTCTTTTGCCTGGAACATTCTAGCATTCTTTTTCTTTTTAAAGTTTTAACTGCTTATAACACTAAGAAGCTCATAGAAAATCCAAACAATTTATAAAGTATAGAGAACAGAGTAAATTCCAGTACCTAAAAGTCAAGATATTTTTAGTGAATGGCTTTTCAGACCTCTCTCTATGCATAATTTCCCATAGAGAAACTTTATTCGGTATAAATTTATGTGTGATTTTACATAAAGGAGATCATTCTGTATATATTGTGTTTTGCAGACTTCTATTTTTTCAGTCACCAGTGCCTTGTGAAATTTATTTTTTTAACTATAAGTATAATTTATAACCACAAAATCCTTAATGTATTCTGGATTTGCTGTGTCATAAGTATGTAAATTCTTCACAGTTACAAGCAAAGTCCTGTGCAGTCTATAGCAATGAACCTGAAAATCACGATGACACCAGTGTGGAGCCTGGGAGGGGAGGGTATTATGTTAACACCACATGTGCTTCTAAGGATATACCCGAGCCCCTAGTAGATTTTCTAGTAATGGCCTATAGCATTGAAGTTATAATTTAATTAAAGTTATTTTGATTAAATCCTCTATACTGATTAGCTTTGCTTTATTGCCTCTTATGTAACATTCTCTCTTGAATTTGCTTGTTACATCTATTATAGTTAAGGGAAAAAAATGCAGAATTAATTTGGTCAACAAAAAATGTTTGCCTAAAGGATCTGTTTCAGTGAGTAGCAGCAGAAGCCAATTGCTGAATTGCAGTCAGGGAAACCAGGTTCTCCATCATGAATTAACAGGCACCAGAACACTCTCCAGCCTGATTGTAGAGTCCTTCACTGTAAGCTTTCTCTGAAGTGGGTGCTAAGAGAGTGCCTGTTACAACAGTGTGAAGGGCAGTGTGTTTGGCATATTCTGAGACTACTAATTCTACTAGGAGTTTCAGAGTACAGTTATATTTTGAAATTGTCAAGGAGCTTTGGGTGAAGGGCCTTATATGTTTTATGCAACGGTGTGACTGTTATATCTAAGAGAAGAAAACTTGATCACAGTTTGGTAGCTTTGGTCTTCATAGACTTGAAAAGTATAGTTTATGACTGGGTTTTCCAGGGTACCATAGCTGAAAGGTAAGAATGGATTAAAAAAGGATTTCTTAATTTAAAAAAATTTACAGTTCCTTCTGTTAGCCATTAAAAATCTCTTTCTCTTTCTCTCTTACACACACACACACACACACACACACCACACTTCTACTCATCCATGGAGATTCCTGGCCAATTCTTACTCTTATTAGGAATGGATGCTATTTTCTGTATATTATCACCAATAAAGATTTGGGGAAGATTTTATAGTTTGTATTAAGACAACGACAAGTATTTTTACAATTTCTAAATACCAACTAGTGTATTTTCAAACTGCCGTGTTCAGGAGCGCTGATGAGACCCGGGTTGGGTGGTGGGAGCCCATTTTCTTCCCACCCACCACTGCTCTCACCCCTCTTCCTCCTGATGGCAAGCTCCTGGCGCACGGAGACATACTCTTTGTCAGGGATGCTTTTTTAATTTGAGTGTTTATTTTCTTAATAATCTCTTTGGGGGCTTTCTGAAATGGAGAATTTTTAATACATGCTAGGACATTGGGACTGGCTACAATGAGCAGAAATATATTTGGTAAATGAAATCAACTCGATACAAGTGTCACCTCAGAGTATAAAATCTTGTCATCAAGAAGTCAGGGGCTTCTCGAAATACAAAGACTTGTGTTTGGCACTGGCACAAAGGATTTCTTATATTCCAGTGAACCTGGTAAGTGTGGTAGCCGTCAGTAGAGTAAGGCTCTTTGTTTTTATGCTGGGTGTAGGGGTCAGGCTCCTTCGGAAGCGGAGCTGAATTACTTGAGGACTGCAAAGGCCCTGGAGATGTACGGCGTTGACCTCCATCCCGTCTATGTGAGTAACATTTAATTAACACAGAAATATTTTAATCTGATGACATTTTTCTTAAAGTGCCACTGGAAGTCCCAGAGGAAAGCTGCAGTCCTGTTGTTTAGCGAGCAGATGATGCCTTTTCATCTGTGTTTTTCTAACACAGTGAATCTCTCATGTGGATTAAACCCTAATGAGTTTTGCATAAAAGTCTGTGATTATATTTCCGTGTGTAGAAAACAATTAACTGGGCTTGAAAACACAATCTGGATAACAGCTCCAAAGGGCTTAGCTAAACGTCAAAACAATTTAAAATTGGTCTGTAATTGATTGTATTAGGTAGAAAACAGGAGGGTTTTCCAAAAATAGGTTTTATGGTTGAAAAACATTCATATAATCACCAGGTAAAGTTTTAGGCACCAGTACAGGTGTAACTGTGTGTAGTTCTTTGTTGCATCTGTAGGTTCCGTCAATAGTATGGTTACTGCCTATTGTAGTTCTTGCCACTGCATTATTAGAAATATTTTTGCAGATTTTCTTCAGTAACTGATGAAGACTTGCCGAATGTAGTCAGTGAGCAGTTATATTGAGTCTGTGTTGAATGTTCTGGATCTGGTCATAACCTTTGAGCCACTTCTCTAAGGTTACCAGTTGATTATCCAATGCCAGTGAGATTGAAATGTGATTGCCTTTCATTTTATGAGTTTAGTTAGCAATAGTCAAATTTGATTATTTGAGAAATGAGCCAGGTACCTTTACATGAAATGAATTGCTAAAGATCATATGTAGTCAGAGTGTGTGTCAATTGGATTAGGGAACTCAATTTTTAAGGAACCCTGATAAAACTTACTGTAATGTAAGTAACTCACTCATGCATTCATTCTGTAATATGCCTTTTGCTCATCTGAGTTTATAAAGAGTTTGATCCATCCCTGGGTATACCATCAACATGGCACTGAGCCCAGCCGGTGTGGCTCAGCTGTTGAACATCAACCTATGATCCAGGAGATCGAGGTTCAATTCCCAGTCAGGGCACATGCCCTGATTGCTGGCTCAATCCACAGTAGGGGGTGTGCAGGAGGCAGCCAATCAATGACTCTCATTATTTATGTTTCTCTCTCTTTCTCTCTCTCCCTCTCCCTCTCTCTGAAATCAATCAAGACATATTTAAAAAGATATATATATGTGTGTATGTATGTATGTATGTATGTGTGTATATATGTGTGTGTGTGTGTGTGTACATATATGGCAATGAAAGTTACATATTTAGGGGAAGTGGTAGTTCCCTGATGTATTAAATTTCAGTCTCATTAGATCATCAAGTGCTCTATACTACTGTCCTTTAAGAATGCTTCTAAAATTTTGTGGGATATTTATCTTTTCCCCTTCTAGCCGCATTAATCTGGTTAGGTTTTCAGTTTTAAAAAAATATATCTTCTTTAGGAAATGTATTAAAAGAGAGTCTTCTGCAAACACATGTGCATTGTGTAATGTTCATCCCAAGTCACAAAGACTTTTTTGTGGTCAGTGGGAATTTATGGTAAATGAACTGGATTCATTAGACTCTTCCGTACATTCTGTTAAGATTGAATTTTTAGAACTAAAAGTGGGCAACAGTTGGTATTCTTTGAAAACCTATTAGTTGGCTTGTGTTCCTTGGGACTATGACTTTACAATGTTATTTGACCTTAGAGTAGAAATAAGATGAACATAGACAGTTCTGTGTATGTCCTTGGTACCCACTCTGCAACTTTCTCATTTCAGAATTCCATTTTCTTTCTTTTTTTAAAAATATATCTTTATTGATTTCAGAGAGAGGAAAGGAGAGGGAGAGAGAGAGATAGAAACATCAATGATGAGAGAATCATTGATCGGCTGCCTCCTGCACGCCCCCGACTGGGGATCGAGCCCGAAACCTGGCGTGTGCCCTGACCGGGAATCGAACCCCCATTGCCTGGATCCTAGGTCAACGCTCAACCGCTGAGCCACACCAGGCCAGGCAGAATTCCATTTTTTTAAATTGAGATTTATCATTGCCTAGAAATTAAGGATCTCCAGTCTTTACCAAAAGAGATTGTATTTTTAAATTTTAAGCAGTCTTAAAGTCACAAATGGAAGTGGGAAGGAGCGTGATAGCGACCTCAGAAAATCCAGGTGTATGCCTGCAGGTGGCTGCCTGAACTTTCTGGAGAGGGTGGTGATGAACAAGTTCTCATGAGTGTTTACATCAGAAAGTAAGATCAGTGAGCCTGGGAAGGGACCCTTGATAGAAGCCAGTGGTTCTTCGTCCTGGGCTGCACAGGAGGATCACCTGGAGCATTTATGTGTTTTTGATACCTGGGCCCCTTCATTGTGGATTCTGATTTAACTGGTTTTGATAGTACCCAGGCATCAGCATTTTAAGCTGCATGGGTGATTCCAGTTAATGTGAAGTCAGGGTTGAACACCATTGTAGAAGTAACATGGGTGAGTCAATTAGTGGCCTGATTATTAGTCCAGGTTCTTCTTCTTCCTTTTTTTTTTTTTTAATATGTCTTTATTGATTTCATAGAGAGGAAGGGAGAAGGAGAGAGATAGATGGAAACATCAATGATGAGAGAGTCGTTGATCGGCTGCCTCCTACACACCCCCTACTGGAGATGGAGCCGCAACCCAGGCGCGTGCCCTGACAGGAAATCAAACCTCGGTCTCCTGAATCATAGGTCGATGCTCAACTGCTGAGTCACACCAGCCAGACTAGTCCAGGTTTTTTTAATGAACTGAGGTGAGGTTACAAGTATGAATGCGCTAGAAAAGAATTTCTTAAAAACTTTGAAAAAAATTAGCAGCAGCAAGTTAGCTACCATCATAGCTTAGCTAGCTTTCTAAGCGGATATTTTTAAAAACTAGATCCAACATTAATCTGACAAATTACATTTGAATGGCCAATTATAGTTTGACAGAGTGCATTTACATGAATACATTTATAGTTGTGGGCATGTGTTTGTTTTTGCAGGGAGAAAACAAATCTGAGTATTTCTTAGGATTAACTCCAGTTGGTGTTGTTGTCTACAAAAATAAAAAGCAAGTGGGGAAGTATTTCTGGTAAGTATAAACTGTGGGCAGGGTTGGCATTCAAGTTACACACTGTATGTATTGGGTTTATGGGACTTGGATGTCGATGAAAGGGTTGCGAAAAGAAGACCAGTACATTTCCAGTGGTCGATAAAAATGAATGAAACTGGCTATACGGTTTCTCCCAATTTTGTTTCAGTATATATTTTCCCTGTAAATTTCAGGTACTGTGATTCTGGACTCCCGTCCATGGAAGCTGTGTGTGGTAGGATTTCCTACCCGTTCTAGTGTATGCTGGTGGGCTGTGGTCCCAGGACTGCTCTGAGCTCTAACTAAACGAGGAAGGATGTGAAAGGCACTAAGGGTTCTCTGGCACCCTGCACCGGGTCTGGGGAAGCGGCACTGCCCAGGCCCGGGGCTTCCAGGCTTGCTCGCATTTACTGGAGAAGCACAGAACGAGAATGGAGTTTTGTTTAGGGAGGTGTATAGAGCAGAGGACATATAGGGAACTCTACAGTTTCTGCAATCGTATATAAGGGAGCCAGTGTGAACCAGTCTTTTCCCACTGAAATTCCGAAAGGTTAATTCTGAAAAACAGCGCTCCCATCACCATCTTTTTTTTTTTCTTCAGGCCTCGGATCACAAAGGTTCACTTCAAGGAGACACAGTTTGAACTCAGAGTACTGGGAAAAGATGTAAGTGTTTGTTTTGGCACTTAGCTTAACCAGGAAGGGGGGATCCTTGTCTCCTTATTGATAACTGAAAAGACACTGTGAAGTACAACTGCTGTGTTTTCTTAGCTGCCACCACACGGAACCTGGTTAATGGACTTATGTGCACAACTTCTAAAGGAAGGCAAGAGGAAGTGAGTGGAAATGAATGAGGTGGTAACGCAGAAATGTCACGATAGTTTTAGCAAAGGGAAATAAACCTTACTAGGGCAGAGAAGAGAAGAGCGGGCGATTGTTGTTCTAAGTGTAAGTTGCTCTTTAGTACTGTCTGTGAAGGTAGGATTCATGTAATTAGAGGGTGTAGCCTGCATACAGGCTAAAAAGTGTCCTGATTTCTTCCCAAAGTAAATTAAACAACCTGTAGGAAGTCACACTTCTGCTGTTTTCCTAGTTGGACGTGGCAGATAAACCAGATGGGAAATTCTGGATGTTTTCAAGGGAGCATGTGAGAATGCAGGGCAAGGGTACAAAAATGCTGACCTTCCCCATGCAGCTTAGCTGTGTCCTCAGGATTGTTTGGGTAATGGGCACAGTATCTGTCAGAGCCTGGAGGTGCCTTCATGCCTCGACAGGTAGCTTTTAGGAAACCCAGCAAAAGAAGGCAAGGATGTGAAAGCTTCCTTTTAACCCATCTGTGAAGATAATGCTCCCTGAAGTGCTAGTAATGGAATCAATGAGTGAAAATATGACGTAGCCGAATCCACCTTTCTCTCTCTTCAGTACTAACTTTGTGCAGAACAAAATCCTAAGTGAATGGCATTGAATTGATGAGATATTTGTTATAAAAAAAGAGGTTAATAAAATCTGTGCTTATGTATTCCCAAGTTTTGAGGCACCGGAAAAGTGTGGCTGTAACTACAGCTGGAAAGTGGTACCTCACAGGTAGCAGGTACTCAATAAATATCTGTTGAATGATCAATGAACTGATCTACTGAGATTATATACCGCCAGATTCGAAAACCTGATATTACTATTTGTTCCTCTTCTGGAAAAAATACAGTAATCCCTCCCTGAACTGTGTGATATGCTGCCATTTATCGGTGAAATTAAAATTGGATTTTGAAATGAGTTTTAACTTGTAAGGAGGGGGAAATTCCAGACTTTTAAAGAAATGAAAGTCCAAAAACCTCAGAGTCGTTCTTAATAGTCTAGTTAGAAGGAAATCCAGTTTCTTTAGCTCCTGATTAGATGTATCGATCTTAAATGTGCTAATATAAGATTGAATTAACATCATCCAAAAAGTAGAATCACTAATTAGATGGTAGGGTTATGCAGTTTTCTCCCTATCTTGCCACTGGTTTCACGGGACTTAATGCGAGGCGTACGGTCTGTTTAATACATTGAACATAATGTTTCAACTTTTTAATAGGAATAAGATAATAAAATGATACGACTTTTCATGGAAGCATTACTGTTATTCAAAAAGTCATTTCCCCCTTATATCTAAGTTATTTTTGTGAGTGAGATCCTTTGGTGAACTACTTTCATGCTATTATTACAGGGCCTTAAAATTCTTCTACTGCCTCGGGATGACTATCTGGTAAAGTCACAGCTAAGTTAAACTCTCAGCTTCTTAGATTTCTTCATAATTAACGGAGAACAGCAACAACAAAGTTGATATCATGTTATTTTTTCACTGGCAGTCTCCATGGTGTGACCTGGTTTCTGACACACCCAGCGCAGTGCCTGTTCCCTCCGTGGCTCTGATAAGAAATGGATGCTGGGGTGCGGGCGAGGCGTTGCCCGCTCTTGTGTCGTTAGCTTGGTGCCAGTGGTCTGTAGTATGGTGGCAAAGCAGGTCCCAAAACTCAGGCTTGAATCGAAGGAAATTTAAAAACTTAAATAGCGCATTAATTGAACCCAGGCAGTTCGTTTCCTGAGCGTTCTTGCTCTGCGGAGCCTCCTTGCTCTGCGGAGCCTCCTTTCTCCACCAGGGTACCTCTCTCTCTGTGAGGCGGTGATTTACATAATGGTAGAATTAAGTTGATTGTTATGGAGGCCTCACTGTAATCACGGATTAAATAGAAAAGTCCCCTGAAACCCATCACCTGGAACAGTAATCACAGTCAGCTTGAAAAATGGTTGAAATGCTTATTCTGCCCGTTTTCTGGTTGGCTGGTTCGGTCAGAGAGGCTTAACTCAGTATGTTCAGTTCTGTTAGGGCCAAATTCAGAGATTCAGTTCCCAAAAGAACAGCAGTGTCCTCCAGATAGAAGATTTTCCTAGTGAAACGAGGTCCAGTTCCACTTTTAATGTTAACTGCGCCCAACGTAACACATTAACATATCTTAATAAATACTAATAATATATTAATGTGTACTATTCATATATTTCTTTCCATCCACAAATAACAGCTTTATCTTTCTCAGGTATAACCTTAATGAGCTCAGTGATTCATTTTCCAGAGAGCAACAGATAGTTGTCTTCAACTAAATATTGGATTTTTAAAAATTTATTCCTCTGACAGATTCAGAAGCTAATTATTAGAAATACTTTTATGTATTATTTAAGCTTTGAAATAGGTACTGTGGTTTAGGTAATACCTCACCAAAACTCAAAACTCGTAGTAAAAAGATCTCGTATGTGGATTATAGAAAATCTGGGCATTTTCGAAAAAAAGAAATTTAAGGAGAAAATTAAAATTACCTGTAGACTTAAAATTCAGAGGTAATGATTATTATTTTAGTACAGTACCTTTTGGATTTTGCCCAGTTAGGAGGTGAACTATAACATATGCATATATACATGTATGTACATCATCGCCCTTAATATTGCATCATAAGCATTTCTGCTTTTACTCTAGTTATTCATTATGTGCCTACACAGTGTTTGATAATGTTTTACTTTTTTTCTTAATATTGTAGATCATTTTTTTTCCTTGTATTATGTCTTAAAACTGGTTTTTGCTGGTAAAAGTGAAAAGTCTATGGAATTTTGTTTATTTCAAACTGGCCGTTTTGCTGAATTCTTATATTCTAGCCAAGAGTTCTTAATTTGATTCTTATAAATCCATATAGATGGTATATATTACTCACAAATAAAAATAATTTATTTCCTCATTTCTGTTATTTATGCTTTATAGTGTTATTCAAAATTTCTAGAAGAGTGTTAAGTGATCTAATATAAGACATCCTTGGTTGGTTTCTGATTTTAATTAAAATACCACTGTTGTTTAACCTCTTATGTATTAGCTCTCGGTTTTAAGAATATATGTGTTTTGCCTGGGGTTTAAATTTTTAAAAATTCAGTTATCAAATGGTTGACTTTCACTGAATGTCTTGAGGTCAAAGATTGTTGCTTGTTTACTTTTTCATTAACTAATGGTTATTTCAAAAATTCAGGCCAGGTGGTAGCGGCTCAGATCAGGGTAGCAACCTCCCAAGTGCTGAGGAGTTGTTGGATCCTGGGGTTAGCCATGTGGTTGAGGAGGAGGTGTTGAGGGTCTGAAGGAAGAGGAAGACATAAAATAGTAATTTCGGAGAGAAAACGGACAAGGGACATGTGGTTTGATGATGTCATATGATGGCATGGTAGTATGGAGGGTCATGGGTTTAAAGTGAAACAACCACAGTGTGCTTTTCTCCAGCCACATTCAGCAGCACTGGTGCAGGCAGGAAGCAGGTGGAGGGTTGGTTTTATCAAGAGAGTGGTACAAAGAGAGGATAGGGAACTCCAGTGAGTCAGGGGAGCAGCCACAGTGATTTACCATGGACCTGAAACTGGGTAAGGTGGTGGGAAAGGACAGTGCAAGCAAGGTCAGATCTGTGGGTGGAGGTCTCGGTGATGCTGAAAAATTCTTGGGGGTGCAGTACTGGAGGAGTGAGCTGGAGAGAGAGGGTAGTGGTTAGAAAGAGAGGTGCTAGGCCTTGAGATGGTGGAGGGATTTCAGTTATTGTAAATGGAAAGTCCTACAGCAGTGGTTCTCAACGTGGGGCAATTACCTCTTACCCCCTGCCTCCCACCACTGGGATATTTGGTAATATCTGGAGACATTCGTGGTTGTCAGTCCTGGGTGGGGAAGGGATGCTACTGGCATCTGGAGAATAGAGGTTGGCTGTTCTGTTAAACATTTTACAGTATATTGTAAATTGGCACCGGATGGTCCCTTGCCAGTATCAATAGTGCTGAAGCTGAGAAACCTGCTCTGGAGTTCTGAGCATGGGAGCCGGTGACTGGGAGCCAATGACTGGGATTGGGGGGGAAGACAACATTGGAGGAGAGAAGCTCAGGGAACTGAGATGTCTGGATGTTGGAGGGATCCTTTCTATTATTTGCATATTGAAATTTCCAGTAATTAATGCAAGAGCAGTATTGGAGAGAGTGACAGTGGCTGCAGTAGCATCCACATAGGAGGGAGATGACTGTAAGGATGACAACCGCCATAGAGGTCGCAGGGGATGTGATCTGGTGAGATTCAAAGCTGGGAGTTTAGGGGGAAGAGAGAGAATGGTCTAAAAGTGGCAGTGGGGAACAAGGAGGATTTCCCCCCACTTTTAGGCTGAGTGATAAGAGAACAGTGGGGACAAAAAGGCACAGCCACCACTTGAGAGGACTGCAGCTGAGACAGTGTCCCCGCAGAGAGCCAGGTTCCCACTGGCACAAGAGGGTGAAGACAGTGTAAGAGAGTGGACTCGGGAGCTGCGGGATTTTGCTGATGCTAGGCCATGAATTCCAGCGGATGAAGGGAGGGTTTCAGGAGTTGGTAGCCATGGCAGAAGGGACGGACTAGGGGATGTGTGGAGCATTACTTGGGGGTGACTGACATAAACAGAAATGGGAAGTGTAATGAGATTGGGTCCAGTGGATTCAGGCAGATGTAGGTGGAGAGGGTGTGAACGTCAGAAGGGAGTGAGGGTTGGTTTTCCATGTCTGCCCATCCACCTTGGTGATAGGGGTGAAAGGGCTATGGGAAGTGAGATGGTCCCAGTGTACCAGTCAGTCTTACTTTTTTGGGAGAGGGCATC